TGGGTTTAGCCTTGGACTCATCGAGTCCCTTCATGGACTCGGTGAGTCTGCTGAGCAGACAACAACAAACTTTGATATTTCAGCGAATTTTACAAGTATAACAAGAAAACAAGCCTAGGCTCTCATACCACTGTTGGGTTTTGAGCATTCTAACACTCCTAAGTGTACATGCAACCCTAAATACCTTGGAGCTATGTTTTCTCTATTATACATGCAGATATGAATATTCCATGGTATTATCCTAACTAGTATACAAAACATTGATTAATATGTAATAAAGCAAGTTAGAAGACATACCTTTTGATGTAGCTTGATTCCATGGAGCTTAAGAGCCTAGTGCCCCAAGCGTGACACCTCAAATGGTTCACACAACACCAAATACACTTAGACTTGAGAGAAATGAGACACTTCACGAAATTTGCTAGCCCTCACCATTCCTTCATATTGTTCGATTTTTGGAAGAATACGATGCTTATATAGTGTGTCACAATTAGGGTTACACCATGTAAACCCTAATTGTCATGGCCTTTAATTTCCAAGATTAATGGGTACAAAAACACCATGGAGCATCCTATGGGTTTTAGCCCAACTTGATAATCCATGGAGCATTAGCTCACTATACAAGTATGGATGATTTACACAATCAACCCATATATTTATTTAGTCTCCTTTTGATCACTTAATTAATTCCAAATTAATTCTTGATCAATACTAGTTAAATAATCTTATTAATATATTAGAACTTATACTATATTAATAAACCTTAAGTGTTATTTCTCTCATTTTAGTCTATCCAAATGCATGATGCCATGCAACCTAAATGGACCATGCTAATCGGGTCAAGTACATACCAAATATAGTTATGGACATAGACACTAATCTAATAGTTAGTTCTCCAGTGAATTCCGGGTTCATTTGTTTTAGCATTTGTTCTAGTGGTATCAGCGGTCTTCTATGGAAGAACTTTTATGTTCAATCACTACCATTGCTAGGGAAGGAGCGGTAGCAAGAAGATGGTGGTGGCAGTCGCATGGGCTTGGTTGGCCACTGGGAGTGCCATGAGAATTGATCTATTGCAAGGGTTATGGTCCTTGTCACCAACATAAAGGACTTTAGGATTTGGGTGCCGTATCATGGGAAGCATTTGGGGTATTCGGACTTACTGAGATTTTGGGGAGTGTCATCGGGATTTCAAGAGTTGTGGAGTCATTGGGATTGGATAGTGATGGTACACTAGTATTGGTAAGCGTAGGTTGTCGGCGGTCCAATCATAAGGAGGTAAGATGGGTTGGAAATCCATCAAACTTTGTGGGCTTGGAGAGTTTCGACAAATTTGAGTGGGTAGAAGCCTTTAGATTTTCGGGAGATGAATCGGGGGTAAAACTAGGATAAGTTTTGCATCCCAGCGGTTGGGAAGACAACTCAAGTGTCCGTTTGGATTGATGTTGTGTAGGTTGGGGAATTCAAGAAATTCCAACAGCCGGTTGGCGTTCCCTTTATGGCATGGCGAGTTAGACGTGTCATAAGACTACGGGGTGGCCAAAGCATTCACCAGATTGGCAAATAGTATGGAAGTGTGGTAAGAGTGTGATGGGATCGTAGCATTCACCAGGCTGAATTAGACTATCGTTGGGGTGGTCGTGAGTATAAAGAAGGACCATTGAGGTCCGAGGCGAGGTGAGGCCTATATAGCTCTCGATGGGGTGAGACCCGTAGGCGAGGCCCATGTATTTATGGCAATGCAGGTGTGACTTGGTAGAGACCAGTTGGGTCAAGGTTATGGACCTTGGTTTTAGTGGGATGATTATGTGGTCAGTAAGTGGAAAAGGGTGATGCATAGGGTAGGGTAGCCTTATCAGTTGGACTCTCATTAACCTAATGGATAGACCGGGTGTGAGACTGGTAGTCTCAGTGGTGGTTTGGGAATTATATATATATATATATATATATATATATATATATATATATATATATATATATATATATATATATCCTAGTATAGTGAATGGAGGTAGTGAACCATAAGAATTCGGGAAATTGCGAATGTAATCTTGAATCTCAGGTTTTGAGTTATGCATCGAATTGGTTTTTGGATGAGAATCGCATTGGAAGTTGATGGTATGTTTATATGCAAGATCTTACCTTAAAAGGTTCTCGTCTCAGTAATTTGTAGGTCGGGTTATCAGTTGGAAGGTTCATGGCCAATAGGATGTCTTTAGTTCTGATGGTGGGAGGAGGCGCTGGTTATCGTGTTTAGATTGATAAAGCTAAAAAGTATTTCATAAATTTACTTTTTACGTTACGCAGAGCCGTACCGGTTTTGTCGCAAAAACATCAACGGGTCATAACTTTTCGTTATAAGTCGGATTTCAGCATTCTTTATATGTACGTAATCCTTGTGACATATACTATACTTTGGTTAAAGTTATTTATCCTAGATAATATTCTGCAAAAAAGTCATTTTTAATGCTTATTATCTCTAAGTTGACTAGCCCGAATCTGCAGGCATTACAGGTGTACGTTGGGCGTACGAAGAAAAAGGATCGCGACTTTGAAAGGAGTACGTTAAGCATAATGGGAATACACGAGGCGTAATCCAGATTCATGCAAACCCTATTTTAGGGCCTTGGACCCTATTTAAGCTCATTTTCTCTTCACCAAACCCTAATATCTTCAGCCTCAATCCCTTTTTAACCCTATAATCGAGCCCTAAGTGCAATTTTGTGATTTTGAGCTTGGTATATTCTTGATGGGTGTTTTGTGAAGAAAGAAGAAGAGGAAGAAGAAGAAGAGAATCATTTGGAGGTATGGCTTGAGCTTCTAGATCCAGGAGTATCTTTCCATTTGTAAGCTTCCTAAGGTCAAAAGCAAAAACCTTGATGATCCTTTTGGTTGGATCTACTTTATGGAGTTCTTTGGCATTTTTGAGTCCCTTGATCTAAGGTGAGCTTTTGATCTACTCCAGAAGTAGTCGTTGTTAGATCTAAGCTTCAATAAGGTCCCCTGTTCATAAAAATGGAAACTTTATGATAGATGTTGTTCCATGCATGTATTAAGCTCTTATTAAGTTACTTTTTAAGTGTTGAGTCCCATTAAGTCGTGTGTGTGTGAGTAAAGTTGGAAACTTTATTGGTTAAGACCTTGGCTAGAGACCAAATCTATGTTTTGGACATCTTGTCTTAACCGATTAAGAGCAAATGTGGGTTTTTGGATTCTTGACTAGTACACTAGGCGTACGAGGAGGTACGCTCAGCGTAATGCGGGGATCGTGCATCAAGTAGTTGTACGTTGTGCATCGTGGTCGAGTACGTGGGGCGTACGTCTTGAGTATGTTGGGCATACTCCCCCAAAGGGTCGGTTTGGGGTTTTGAGGTTTGGGCTATTGTTGGGGTTTTCTTAGTATGGGCCATGTTGGGCCATTATACTTCTTTTTGGGCTTTTGGTTCGTACCTTTTGGGCTCCTTTGGATTTTAGGCCCATAAAGGGTTTTGTGGGCCCAAATTGGAAAATTAGGCCATTGTTGGGCCTTGGGTGATTATGTTGGAATTCCGGTCTTGGACAATTGGGCTTGGGCCTTTGGCTAAGTATAGGGAATGGTAAAAAGGGCTTTACCCTAGTTTGGACTCGAAGGGTGAGTCAGGATCCAATTATTGATTTAATGATTATTTTATGATTGATAGCATGGGGATTCTAGTGGGACAGCTGCCAAAGATTTATCTGTGGGACTTAGCAGTGTGAGGTGAGTTTTCTCACTATATCCATGGGTCGAAGGCACCAATGTTGGCCCATCACTACAAGAAAAAAGGGTATCAAAGACTGATATAATCAGTCTCTAATGGTCAATAATCAGTCTGTGATGAGAATCAGGGACTGATTTTGCTAGTCCTCAACTAGTCCCTGAGACCTAGTCTTAGATAATCGATTTTTTTTGTATTTGGGACTGAAAATTAGTCCCTAATTGATCAATGTATCAAAGACTAAAAATCAGTCTTAGATAATATCATATTCAGTCTCTAATTTGTTTTATTCAAATCCCCAATTTGATATAATATCAGTCCATAATACTATCTTTTAAAGACTGAATATTAGCCCCTTATAATATATTATTCATTCTGTAATATTTTCATTGAAATCTTTATTTCGTGTCCTATCAGACCCTTTTGATATCATTTGGGACTGAATATCAGTCTTCTAAACTACCTAGCTTAGTCTCCAATATTGTTTTTCAAAGACTGAATATCAATCTCAAAGACAATGTTATTCAATCCCTAACCTGATATTTCAAGGAGTAAATACCAATCTCGGATACAATGTCATTAGTCTCTAATAAGATTTTTAGGGACTGGACATCAGTCTCAGATACAATGTCCTTTAGTCTGTAATATGATTTTTCAATGACTGAATATCAGTCTTCAATACAATTTTATTCAGTCACTAACCTAATATTTCAAGGACTGAATACCAGTCTCAGATATAATGTCAATCAATCTCTAAACAGATTTCTTAGGGACTACATATCAGTTTCGGATACAATGACATTCAGTCTCTAACTTAGGTTTTCAGTGACTGATTATTAGTCTAGGATACAATGTCATTTAGTCCCTAACATGGTTTTTTAGTGACTGTATATCAGTCTAAGATTCAATGCTATTCAGTCCCTAACATGAATTTTCAATAACTGAATATTAGTTTCGGATACAATGTCATTCAGTCCCTAACATGCTTTTTCAATGACTGAATATCAGTCTAAAATGAAATATCATTTAGTCCCTAACCTTTTTTTAGTGACAAGATATCAAACTCATATGCAATATCATTTTAGTATTAATAACTACTTGTAAGTGCTAGAGTTAAAGACAAAATATACTGAAAATAGAAAATGTATTGTAATCTAGACATCATTTCCAAATTAAAACAATAAACAAAAAAAGTCTAAGCAATAAGTCAATAGTAATACCATATCTGAAAAAGTTCTAACTTTTAACTTAAGATCATGACTATTACTCTTCATCTGATATGTTTGGCATGTCATCAGATGCACGAAATCCTTCTTTATCAGGCGGGCATAATATGTTTTGAGAATCTGAGAACTTCGAGATCATAAATTGAAGCATCTTTTCACATTTCTCCTCACTTTGTTTCACTTTTTCTTTGTTTTCTCGAACCTCTTCCTCGAGTGCAGTAACTTTATTTTTCAAAGCCATTTCATCCGTTGAGGCTGATTGAGATGGTTCCGCTGCTGATAAGATATGTAGATCTTTTTTCCTCATAATAGGTCCACTTGAAGCCTCCCATCCAAATAGTAATGTTTTATGTCTTGCACAAACGGTTTTAACGGCTTTTTTCTCTATTTCATATTCCATTTCTGGAGTAATGCTTATTCCCGCAGAAACTAATTTGGTACATTCATCCTCTTTCATTTGGAGAATATTTTCCTAAAACAACATAAAAACATATTATAATAACTTATATATAACACCAATATCAATATATTACAGACGGAAATTAATATTACTAGATAAATAATTCTTACATATTGAATGTGTGTCTCATCATTTAGCCATTCCTTTGTAGGATGAAAATGCAACTTTTGATATAATTTGATTGGGGTGGGAGGCAATTGAGTCTCTTTGTTTTTCTGCATGCAATAATAAAAATTACATAAGAACAATTATTTATAATTGGTGTTCAATGAATATGTTAATACAAATATAAACTAATTGGCTAGTTACCATGCTAAATTTGTGATTTGCTATTGATCGAGAACCTCCTCTACTTGAAATCACAAGTTTTTCTCGATTATTTTTCATTTGATCAGCATACTTCTACAAAATTTAAATTAAACAACTAACATATAAATAAGAATTAATTACGTAAAAGATGTCTATAAAGAGCGAAAAAGTTACCTGTGCTTTATCTGTCTCCCAATAATCACACAAATGAGACCAATCTTCTTTGCTACGACAATCTGGCTTCATTTTAGATCGTGCTAATTGTGGATCGGTCATTCCTCCATTTTTCTTCCAAAAATCTTTCAAAGTATTTCGTGTGCGTTTCCATTGCCTTCGCATTTGCTCATCTACACATTCCATCAAAACTATATCTGCGTGCGGTATTTCAAATTTTTCCTGCATTTAGTACATATTTTAACTTTTAGGGATGAGATTTAGAACTGGACCGGTTCGGAACTCGAACCGGATTTGCTTTATTATATGAAGCGAAACATTAAAAAAAAAAAAAACACAACATAGATATGCTATCTTGCCGGACTTGTAGATGATTCAGTATTTAACAAAAATATAACTTTGTGCAGTCTAAAATGAACTAAAAACACTAAATTACGTGTTGAAAAAGAATCAGGTCATATCTACTTCATATGACTGACATATGCATATTTTAAAAATGAGTGAATTAAAAAAAATGCTAAGAAAGAAATTTTGGTCCAACTCTAGTATAACTTACACGTAATCTATCAATCATTTCTTCTTTATTTTCTTTCGGTACTTTTTCCCATGTATGGAATTCCATTGGACAAAACTTTCGCATCACAATTCCAACCTCCGTTGCAAAATATACTGCTGAATCCCTAACGAATTTCTTAGTATATGTATCTTTTCTCAATGTAATCCGTGCATCTGGTTGATTCTCCACAATCTTGTCCAAAATATGCGAAGCCTTTTTATTAATATTAGGGCCTCGCCTCCTTCGTTGATCTACACAATATATATTGTTCTTAATATGTAATGTTATAAATAAAATAATAAAATCCATACTACTTACTTGGAGCATGAGAGTGCTCAGTTTGGGATTCCATGTTATCAGTCGTGTTAGAGACATTTCCTTCACCAACTAACGGTATTGAAAATCTTTGAGTATCTTCGGTGGAACCACTTTGTCTTGTTGCTATTTTCACATTAATTAACACATGTACAATTGAAGTAATTTACTATTATGTAGTATATAATTTATGTAATTTATATACTATTACAAAAAGACCGGTTTATAATTTACTATTACACAATGGCCCAATACTATAATCTAATATAAGACAAGTACCATTTATATAATTTACTATTACTCAAAATATTAAACACAAATGTAGTTACCTATATCACCTGAGTTTGGAAAAGATTCCATATTTTGAGAAAGAGGGCGTTCAATTGTTTTAGAAGTTTTTCTAGAGACACTTTCTTCTTGGGCAGGCTGAAATGAAGTTGATCGAGTATTTTCTCTCGCAACAGTTGCTCCTACAGAGATTTAATCATTAGTTATGACCGATTACGTCTGTTACGACAGTAAAAAAAAATACAAACCTTACACTAACAATTACCAAAAAACCCCTTCATTAACAATTACCAAACAACTCTTACACTCATTAGCAAACATCCCCTACACTCATTACCAAACTGTCCCATACACTAAGATTTACCAAACATCCCCATACACTAACATTTACCAAACAGCCCCTACACTCATTATAACCCTTTAACTTTTGGTCACCAAATTCAACTTTAACACGTTATGGATGAATCAGTTAAATGTAATCAGAAATTAACATGTAAGGTTATACCTATTGATGCAACGGATGTCATAACACGTTTACGTGTACGAAGCATGCACAACTTTGGATCCAGTTCACTTCCACTTTCTTCACCAGTTGACACAACCGAAATTTGTCGAGGTTCTTTCCTTACATGCTTCGTACCTCTGAGATTAGCAATCTTCATCAACACAAGAAATATCCACATTTTACCTGCAAAAATTTGGTTTTTACACAAGTTAGTCATGAGTAAAATTATTGATATTCATTGTCAAAAAAGTTCTAAATAATTAACAAATTACAAAACACACCAACAACATACAAAAAGAATACATTTATTCATATCCGTTGTCAAAAAGTGTTAAATACTAAATTAAAGACACCAACAAAGAAACACAAAAAATAAACATATTCATATTCATCATCCGACTCATCATATAGTGCCAAATTTGTTTCATTGCTATCATCTAAATCTTCGTTTGATTTATCGGGTAATTCCTCAATAACTTCGTTGGAGATAATATCATAATCGATAAAATCATCTAAATCAACTTCAAAACTATCATCATCAACGACTTCCACAAACTCTTCTTCGCCGTCTTCTCGATGAAACTCGAAATTTTCACAATCAGATGCTTCAAATGGGGTTGTTTGTGACGGTGTTCCTACATGTTCAAACAAATCTTGTGTATCCTCGTTCTCTGGTATGTCCCATAAATGTCTATGTGTGCTCCTTTCTATGATTTTCCAGCTCGAGGCACGCGTGGGATCATTTATATAGAACACTTGTTTTGCTTGATTTGCCAAGACAAACGGATCTTCCTTATAAGCTTGTTTGGTTGTATCTACAGAGATGAAATGAGGCTCAAACATCACATGCTTCTTTCTGCGGTCGGTATCGAACCAAATACATTTAAATAAAATAACTCGATATCCTTTTATGAATGAAAATTCAAGGACTTCATCAACATATCCATAATAATCCTCTTTAACACCATCGTGAATTCCTAGGGCTATAACTCCACAATTCTGAGTCTTCCTATGTTCATCTCGTGACTTAACAAGAAATTTAACTCCATTTACTATGTATCCACCATGTGTTGTAACTCGATCATCTGGGCCACGTGATAATGCATACAACTCTTCATCAACTGCGGATGAATTTTGCTCATACATTTTCCACATCTATTCACCATTTTGAGAAAAGTATGAGTTGGTTGAATGCTTCTACATGATAAAATGATATAATTTATTGTTATAGTAACATTACCCGTAAAGAAAACCAACTTGGAAATGAAGATTGTTGTAATTCGCTAAAATTTAACAATCTTGGATGTTCTCTTTTTAGGTGTTGTAAGTGTTCCCTGTCAGGTGAAAATAAGCCTTAAATACCTTGAGATAAATGGCCAAGATATCTTTCAACCGGATACATCCACCTTGATTGTACGGGTCCTCCTAAAATAGCCTCTTGAGGTAGATGAACGCATAAGTGCATCATAACCATAAAAAATGAGGGAGGAAATATGCGTTCCAGCTTGCAAAGAATCTTAACTATCTCTGTTTGCAGCGTTTCTAACTCTCCCACATGTAATGTGACTGAAGTTATAATCTTGAAAAACCGAGAAAACTCTACCAACGTATCACGTATTGGCTTATTCAAAAGCCCACGAATAGCGATAGGGAGTACACGTTGCAGTAAGACATGACATTCATGAGATTTAAGTCCATATATCTTACATTGCTCGAGAATAACATTTTTAGCCAAGTTTGAGGCGTATCCATCTGGAAAACGAACAGACTTAACTGTACTAGAAAATTGGTGTCTCTCTTTTCGATTTAAAACATATGGAGCTGGCAGTTTAATCCCACACATTACCCCAAATCCATACCAAAAAAATAATGTATTGTAATCTAGACATCATTTCCAAGTTAAAACAATAAATAAAATATCTAAGCAATCTCTGGATAGTAAAACCATATTTGAAAAAAATTATAAATTTAAACTAAAGGTCATAACTATTACTCTTAATCTGATATATCTTTCATGTCATATTTTCACATTTCTCATCACTTTCTTTGACTTTTTCTTTGTTTTCTCGAACCACTTCCTCGAGTGCAGTAACTTTACTTTTCTGCAATAATAAAGATTACCATAAGTACAAGGATAATTGGTGTTCGATGATCATATTAATACATATAAATAAGACTTTATTATGTAAAAGGTGAATATATATAAAGAGTGACAAACTTACCGGTGCTTTATCTGTCTCCCAATAATCACCCAAATAAATCCAATCTTCTTTATTACGACAATCTTGGCGAGCATTATCAGTGTGTATTGTCTTCTTTTCTATGTTTAACAAAGTCCCCAAAATGTTCTCAAGCACATTTTTTTCAACATGCATGACATCAATGTTATGACGCAGCAACAACTTACATTGGTATGGTGTAAGACTTTCGCTATCAACGTATGCTTTATCCACCTCCGCAAAATCCATCGGCCCTTTCATGAACTTCAGATCGACCTTATTGTTGATTGTCATCGAACTCTTGGCCATCGTGTCTTAGTGTGAAGTTATTAACTAAAAATAGACAAAAAGGGAGATACAGAAGAAGAAGAAAGAGACAAAAAACAACATTAATGTGAGAAATTCAAGAGAAAAGACTAAATTACTTACGACCCTTAATCATAAAAATTGGATATTTGTTGCTCCATAAAATGCATTTATGGTGTTTTCTTAAATGCATATGATAGGTATGTGTTAGAGAATCGAGCCCATAGATTGAGTACCTTTTATTTAAGCAACACCTATGTTATCAAACAACAAATAAAGGTGGACTTATGTTTAAAACACTAGAAATTTCTTTTCTGGCTTCACCTATGAACAATTAACTTTTAACAATGTTGGAATCATAATTCATAATTCTAGGGCGTTTTTAATCTTAAGGGTATTTTGGGGAAAAAGATAAAAGTGTTGGTATCAAATTAGGCATCTTTCATGTCTAATAGTATAAAAACAGGAGTAATTCCTTTATTGTTTTCAATCTAGTATTATGTTTAATTAAGAAGTAATTACTTAGCCAACAGGTTTTTTTATCGCCTCTCTTGTCCCCTGTTCTTTTTCCCATGGTTCCTTTTTTAACACCTGTTCTTTTTCAATCTTGCATTATGTTCCTTTTTTATCACCTGTTCCATCTTCCATCTGTTTCTCTATCTTTTTTCGTTGGTGCACAAGGTGAAAACAGAAAGCAGCCCTGTTACTATTATTTGTTAATCTAGGTTGAAAATGTTATTAGTTGGTGCAGCGAAGGTGCAGAATCTTTAATGTGAGGGATTAGCACGTTGAAAGGTAGAACACAACTGTTATCTTTTTGTTAATTTGAGTATTTTCAGTAAAAACTATTAAAGCCTTTTGTTCTTATTCTTGTTGTAGATATCATTTTTTTTGTGAGTTCAAGAGAGAGTACTAGGACAAGTATTAGAAGTTTATAAAAAATGTGTGGCAATAATGGGACAATTATTTAGAACATCTAAACAGACAATTGAAGTTTTACAATGATGCTTCTTTCTCATCATGACAATGTACTAACATCATGACAATCTCTTTTGTTAAAAAAAATGGACATTTATGCCCCTGATATATGTAAGTACCCACAGAGGTAATTTAAAATTATAGTACCCAAAATATCATATGATTTTAAGCATTTTTAATGGTGACAAAACAATCTAAGCTAATAATGATTTTAGAAGGAATCCACAAGCAAAAACCGGACATTTAAGTAGAAGGCTCTCTTTTGGTAAAAAAAAATAGACAGTTATGCCCTTGATCTATAGAAGTGTGCATATTTCAATACCATGCTCAATTCTTTGTAGATTTACAGTATTTTCCTACTTTCAGTTGGTGTTGCTTGTATGTGATTTTTGTGTTTACGTATTATGGCTTATATGTGTTTATATTTGATGTATTATACATATATTTTTCTATTTTTCTACTCTGTAAATGTATTTTATATATATATATATATATATATATATATATATATATATATATATATATATATATATATATATATATATATATATATATATGATGGCGTATATATGTGATTTTGCAATTGAAATTGAAACAGATGGAATGAATGTTTTGGTGGATCCTGACGTTACTTTAGAATTAAGATTGATTACTTTATTGTTTTCAATCTAGTATTACGTTTATTTCAGAAGTAATTACTTAGCCAAGAAATTTTTCAAACCTTTCTTGTCCCCTGTTATTTTACCCCTGTTCATGTAATTGTTATTTTTCCTGGTTATTTTTTTATCATCGATGCAAAACAATCCAAAATATCATATGATTTGGAGCATTTTTAATGGAGACAAAACAATCTAAGCTAATATTGATTGAAGAAGGAATCCACGATCAACATAAAATTGAATAACAAAAGTTTAACAAACGAATCGATAGAGAAGAAGATTAGTTACCTAGATAAGATCGATGAATGTTTCACGAGTAACTATCGTAGCCCTTGATTTTGTGCACGTCTATCTCCTTCGATTGATGTTCCTTCACGTACGTAAGGCTTGGATACGGTTTAATGTGGGATTTACCGTTCAATAAATCTACAATCCTTAATTCCAGGAAGTGATTATGTTTGTTATACGATCCATAAGCAAGTATATTCTTTCCTTTTTTTAATTATTTTTTTATTTCAATTTTCTTAAACTTGTTTTAAATTGTAGTTTTGATTTTGGTTATAAATTTTTTTTTCATAGTTTCATACTCAACTAGTTATTTTTTATTTTTTTATTTTTTTGTTTCGTTTTTTGGTCATAAGTAGAATGTATTTTTATTTTATTTGAATATTTGAAAAAGAATAGTTACCCCTTACCAACCTACAAACTCACATGGATACTCTATCTCACCCTACGGTATCACGAATCTGACATCCATCCATCCACCCACACACATCCCCTATAGACGAGTACACGTCTAGAAGAGTAGCGGTTATGCTCCCAACAACTTTCAATTGACAACTAAAACTAGGGATAAGACCCTCAGGTGCTGGTGGGGGGCAATGATGGTGGCGGCGGTGGTGGTGCCAGTGTCAACTGGTAGTGGCGACCGGTAACAAAGCAGGGGTAGTGGTGGTGGTGGTGGTAGTAGCGGTTGGTGGGGGAGGCGGCGGTGGTGAGGGAAATGGTTGTGGTGGTGAGTGATGGTAGTGACAGTGGCAGTGATGGTAATGGTGGTGGTGGTAGTCATATATGATATATATGACTAACTAACAGTTATCAAAGACTAAAAATTCACTCCCTAATGATTTCTATTCAAATCCAAAAAGTGGTTAGTCTCCAAGACTGGATTTCAATCCCTAATAAGTTTCTTTCCAAATAGTATTCGTGACAGATTCATCGGTCTCTGATATATGGTATCTATGACTAAATAATCAGTCTTAGATACCAAAATATAACCATTCTTAAGTGTTCATTTGAATCTCAAATAGTATATGTCTATGTTATCTACGACTAAACAATCAGTCTTAGATACCAAAATATAACCATTCTTAAGTGTTCATTTGAATCTCAAATAGTATATGTCCATTAGGGACTGAAATTTAGTCTTTAGAAAGTTTCATGTACGCAGGATAAATTGGTGCCATTGAATCAATGACTGATCTTCAGTCCCTAATAAGTTCCTTACACAACCAAAACTGACCCAAGTCTACCAGGGACTGAAATTCAGTCACTCATAACTTTCCCCCAAAATTCAAAGTTAGCGCTCAACTATTTAAGACTGAAATTCAGTCCCTAATGTGTTTCCTAACAAACCTAAACTGACGCAACCATATTAGGGACTGAATTTTAGTCTCGAATAAGATCGGCCAGCCTTTAATGATTTGTACATTAAAATCAGTCCTAGATATTATCTGAGACTAATTAATCAGTCCTAGATACATTATATCAAAAACTGATTAATCGGTCCCAGATATGTTAGTCACAAAAGCCCCTTTTTCTTGTAGTGCATTACTTGTTATGATGAATGCTAGTTGTCTTTGTGATACTTTCCTGGAAGACCCTAGGGGTAGCTCGTGGCATTTGTATGTAAGACCATGGGGGTAGCCCATGACACTTGGATGTCAGACCATAGGGCAGCCTATGACATTTCAAGTAAAGACCATGGGGGTAGCCCATGGCACTTGGATGTCAGACCATGGGGGGTAGCCCATGGCATTTCAGGGAAAAGACCATAGGGATAGCCCATGACAAATGTATGTATGGTATGTGGTATTTTGGGGAAGTCAATAAGCTTTGTGTTTACAGTTTTCAGTTTATGTTTTCAGGTACTTCTGTATTCAAAGTGATGAGCCCGGGGGTGATTGCAGAGCACACACCACTTGATTCCGCATTTTATGATTCACTCGGATTATTATGATGTATTGATAAAATTTGATTACCTTGGTTTTATGACAACGATATGGTTTACTGTTTTATAAACTTAAAAATGAATTTTTTTTTGGGTATTATAATGGGAAGTTACACTTGCATCTCGGAAGATGCAAGACGATAAGGTGCCTTAGTTATCAATGCTGCACTAGGGACTTGTTCAATTCTGAACTCGACCTGCCTATCAGGAAGCACTCCCAACAAATCATCGGAAACACATTTGGAAAATCTCGAACCATAGGCACGTCCTAATATCCACAATATAACCATAAAATCAGGCGTCAGATAATTCACTTTATGAGGCTTTTAACTGCCTTGAAGCATACACAATAACTCGTCCCCGCTACATGAGTATAACTTCCAACCTTGTGATCGATGCATCACAATAGACCACAAAATCATCAACACCATCGGGAAGGGTCAAAACTGGTGCCTCGCACAACTTCTGTCTAAGATCCTCAAATGCCTCCTGCTGCTCAGGCCCCCAATGAAAAACAGTCGTTTTCTGCGTCAACCGAGTCAAGGGTACTACTATCTTTGAGAAATCCTAAATAAACCTCTAATAATACCTAGCTAAACCAAGAAAGCTCCAAATCTCAGATGGAGACCTCAAAACCTCCCACCGCATCACAACCTCAATCTTAGTCGGGTCGACTAAATACCATATTGGTTGATGAGGTTCCCCAAAAACTGAACACCGTACAACCAAAACTTGCACTTGGAAAATTTGGTGTAAAGCCTCTCTATCCTCAAAGTCTTAAGAACCTCCTGCAAGTGCACCCCGTGTTGCTCCTTGGTCTTAGAATAGACCAATATATCATCAATAAACACAATCATTGACTGATCCAACATCGGTCTGCATACCCGGTTCACGAGGTCCATGAACGTCATCGGTGCGTTGGTGAACCCAAATGTCATCAGTACGAACTTGTAATGCACATAACGAGCCTGGAAGGCCATCTTTTGTATATCCTCATCCCTGACTCTCAACTGGTGGTAACCCAACCTCAAATCAATTTTCGAAAACCAAGATTAACCCCGAAGCTGATCGAATAAATCATCTATTATTGGAAGTGGATAATACTTCTTCACCGTGAGCTTGTTCAACTCCTCATAGCCAATGAACATCCTGTGTGATCCATCATTCTTTTTTATGAACAATATAGATGTTCCACACGATGAACTGTTCGGTCAGATACACTCCTTGTCCAACAACTCCTCCAGCTATGTGGACAACTCTTACATCTCAGAAGGTACAAGACGATAAGGTGCCTTAACTATCGATGCCGCACTTGGGATAGATCAATTCTGAACTCGACACTACTGACAAATCATCGGAAACACGTTTGGAAAATCTCGAACCATAGGCACGTCCTAGTATCCACAATTTAACCCTCAAATCCTGAACACTACTAGCCTTATAGCTGAACAAACTGTTGGGCCGCCCCTCTACGACTTTAGTATTACTTGATGTTCGATATGCTCACCCCTACCCTGCTATGAGTTGATATCTCAAACTCTCACTGCCTTCAATTTCAGTTTGCTTACGTATCGTTCTTCATAGTTTATATCGCCTCCTCTGTCTCTCTTTGATCGTTAAAAGTGAAATCGAACCACCCCTATTCCAATTCACCAATTTAGAACAAGAGAAATCTTTCCCTTTTTCTCAAATTCTTTCTTTCTGTTTTTGTTACAAATCATGATGCTGATTCAACAATTCAAGACACCCCTTTCTTACAATTTCCCAAATTCTACCTCAAATTCGAGAACTCCTTCCCAAAATTACAACAATGTACGGTTTTCAATCAAGAACCACAACAACAGCAGCAATAGCATCTCTTCTACTGATTCTAATTCGATTACTTCGATGAAGAGCAATCTTAATGATGATATTGCAAACCCATCATCGTTAATGTCGTCGTCTGCTTCGACTAAATCGCCGCCATATCCCGGTGGTATGGGTCCGTATACGGGTAGGGATCCGAACGTCAAGAAACCGAGTTGGCTTCGGCAAAAGGCTCCACAAGGAGAGAAGTATCTGGAGGTTAAAGATTCGTTAGAACGCCTTAAACTGAATACCGTTTGTGAAGAAGCACAATGCCCTAATATCGGGGAGGTACCTCTCGATCATTTCAACATATTCTTGTTTCATGTATTTATTTTCTTATAATCCTCCATCCAGTCTAATTAAAGCGATTAAACTGATTTTGTTCAACAGAATTCCATTTTCTATATTTTAATTCAAGAGTATTCAAGACATTTTCTGTTGATTTTGTTCAGAAACATCACTTTTGTTATCATCATGTAATGGTATTCGAGGCATTTGCTATTGATTTACCTGATCTGTTCAAAAAATCTTCCCTTTCTTTGACATTGTTCAATAGTATTTGAGGCAGTTGCTATTGATTTTATCGATCTTGTTCAACAAACTTACCTTTTTCTCTCATATTCTTTAATAGTATTTGAGACTTTTTCTATTGACTTTATCTTGTTCAACAAAGTTGCCTTTTTCTTTTAGCTACTTCAGTCGAACTATATATCAATTTAAACACTCAAATTTCTATTTGAATAATCAAATACTTTCAAGTTCGCTTTTTTTTGTATGCTAATTTACAATTTATGTTCTTGTTACAGTGTTGGAATGGAGGTGAAGATGGTATTGCAACTGCAACAATCATGCTTCTTGGTGATACATGCACCAGAGGATGCAGATTTTGTGCTGTCAAAACCAGCAAAAACCCTGCCCCACCAGACCCTATGGAGCCACAAAACACCGCTGAAGCCATTGTCAGTTGGGGGTAATTTTGTAAATTTGCCAAAAAAAAAGATTTGTTTTGTAACTAATACATCGTATAAAGCTGACTACTTTTATTTAACCACTTCTCCTAACAAGAAATGTTTTGGTGATTTATCTTGCAGTGTGGATTATATTGTTTTGACCAGTGTTGACCGGGATGATCTTCCAGATGGCGGGAGTGGTCATTTTGCTCAAACTGTCAAAGCAATGAAGGTACAAATCCAATACATAACTTTTCTCATTTCCACAATTAAAAATAATAATAATAATAATACACAAATAAATAAAAGTACATTGCTATTTTTGTGTAGAAAAGGAAGCCGGAGATTATGGTTGAATGTTTGACTTCTGATTTTCGTGGTGATTTGGAAGCCGTATCCATGTTGGCTAACTCGGGATTAGATGTTTTTGCCCACAATATTGAAACGGTTAAAAGACTACAACGAATTGTAAGAGATCCAAGAGCTGGGTGGGTTTTCTCATTAAGGCATTGTACTTTGAAAATGTATTCAATTATAAACAACTGAATGAAAGTACATTGCTATTTATTGTGTAGATATGAACAGAGTTTATCGGTTTTGAAACATGCTAAGGCTAGTAAAAAAGGGATGATTACTAAAACTTCAATTATGTTGGGACTTGGTGAATCCGATGATGAATTGAAAGAAGCCATGGCGGATTTACGTGCCATAGATGTTGACATTTTGACACTCGGACAGTATTTACAGGTGAGTTTATTTATTTATTTTATTTTTTTGATTATTTTTTGTAAATTTGAAAGGAAATGGTTGAAATTTTGTTGTATATGTGCAGCCGACTCCATTGCACCTTACTGTGAAAGAATATGTTACACCTGAGAAATTTGAGTTTTGGAAAGATTATGGGGAGTCAATTGGGTTTCGTTATGTAGCAAGTGGACCTTTGGTACTATTTCTTTATTTTATGAATTATTCTATTTTTTTTTTTTTTTTATTTATGAAAACGTGATTTATTTGTTAATGTTTGGAACTATTTTAGGTACGATCATCGTATAGGGCAGGAGAGTTATTTGTTCAAACTATGGTGAAAGAGAGGAGCAAAAGCGCGTTGTGATTATGAGATTTTGAAATTCTTTATATTGAAAACTCTTGGCTCTTGATCTTCACACACACACACACACAATTATACATGTGTTCGTATGCAGGCAGGTTATTCATATTTACTGAACTTTTATTTATTTATTATTATGTTGATTTTGGTTTAATTTTATGTAAAATGATTACACATGTCAACGGTGTCAGATGGGTGCTTGTATGATCGTGGTATCGATCAGTTTAACATATTGTTTTTTAGTGATTTCGTTTTAATGCAATTGTTTTTTAGTGATTTCGTTTTAATGCAATTGTTTTAACTTTTTTTTTATTCCAAAAAACAAAAGAATACGTGAATAAATTTTGTAGGTAAATGATGACTTGTACATTTTTTTATTTAACTAGTATATTATTTATTGGCATATTTCAAGTGAAAAAACGTGGGCAATAGATTGACGTATACATTATTAATTATGTATAAATAAAATTTATAGGTAAATGATGACTTATACATTTTTTTTTATTTCACTAGTATATTATTTATTGGCATATTTCAAGTGATAAAACGTGGGCAATAGATTGACTTACACATTATTAATTATGTATAAATAATATATAAATATTTATATATTTATATTTTAGTGGATTATTATCATAAAAGTTATAAGTTTTTAACATATAATTGAGAAAAGTCATATTATTTTTTTGTTATTATAACCATAATTTTCTCTTAGAATTATCATTTTAATCTATTTAACGAGTTTTATTGTTCACTCTGTTATCTTTTTGTAAAAATCAGCATAAAGTTGTACTTAACATTTAAATTTTGACCATATAGTTTGTAAAAAATTACATAACATGGTTTTTTAACTTTATTGTTTGTTTTTTTATATATTTTATTTATTTTTTATTTTTTTATATATATACTTTATTTATTTTAGTTTTCTAACTTTATTTTTTAACAATTTAATTTTTTTTACCTTTTTTTTCACTTTTTTTCAATTTTAGTTATTTATAGTTTTTCTAATATTTTTATTTATTTTGATTCAAATAACTGAATTTGAATTAAATTTAAAATATTATAAAAAGTATATTTTTTTTACAGAGACCGACTATTATTATTTTTTTTGTTCTTTCTTTTAGTCTATTATCAAATTGAAAAATATTATCTTGAATTTAAACTATTAATATCACATATAGAAATATGATTTAATTTGCAAGTTATCTCACACATTGAAATATTAATTCTCAACAAAAAAATTGTTTATTTTTTTTTTAAAATTTTCATTTTATCGTAACATAAATATAGGAGCACCAAAGAACAAAAAATAAAAAGAAAATAAGTTGGACCGAAATTACAAATATAAATATGAAAAAAAAACTATAAATTACAAAAATTTGTAATATACTCTAATATATTAATACATTTTATATTTTTTACCTGAATAAAAATAAATTACAAAAACTATAAATTACTGAAAATGTAATACACTCTAAATTATTAATACATTTTATATTTTTTGAAAAGGGTCAAGAAAAAGTTAAAATCACGAAAAAATGAAAACAAATACGAAAAAAAAATGAAAATTAGAAATACGAAAAAATTAAAATATAATACGAAAACAAATATAAAAAAACTAAAGAAAAAACAAAAAATATAAAATGTATGATTGTATTAGAGTAAAATAAAAAACGTAATATATATATATATATATATATATATATATATATATATATATATATATATATATATATATATATATATATATAACAAAAATAAATAAAGTATATAAAAAATAAAAAATAAAGCTAAAAAACCATGTGGCGTAATTTTTTGCGAAGTACAAAGATAAAATTTGAACTTTAAACTCAATTTTAGGATTGATTTTGGAAAAAAGATAACAAAATTAACCAAAAAATTCTTTAAGTGGACTAGAGCGATGATTTTGCAAGTAAGTTGTGGTCATAATAATAATAAAAAAATTATGATTGTTTTTCAATTACACGTTAAAAACTTATAGTAAACCGACTTTAGTTGTTGAAGGAAAACTCGTAAGTGATTTCTCGAACAATACCTACTTTTTTTTTATTTTTTTTTATTTTTTTATTGTACTACTTGTTATGCATGATGTCCATGTTGCTATAGGTTCAAGATGTGTGTTTTTAGCTTTGGACTCGTACCAATACCATTTGATATTAAAATATTGGGAAAATGATTTGATCGGGTAAGATACTTTTTGAAATGTACACATTTAGTCCTTTTTTTTTTGTAAAATAAACCTTATACTTCATTTTTTGTAACAATGTAATCCTTGTGACCGGCTATATCCGGTATACCGGTCATATACAAATTTTCTTTTAGGGATAATGACTTGATAGGGTAAGATACTTTTTGAATTATACACATTTAGTCCTTATTGTTTTTTTTTTTGTAAAATAAACCCTGATACTTTATTAATATGTACACATTATGTCATTTTCACCGGATTCTACAGGTTTTGCTGATGTGGAAGCACATGTGGCACTAAATAACAATTAATTAGCTTAGTCACTGGAGGTGGGTGATCCTCCAGCAATAAGAAAAGGGCGGCGACCCTTCTTTTTCTCGTCTCTCTTCCTTCCGGTCGAATAGCAACAGCCAAACACCCTTTACATGTTGTGTTTCTCCGATCTGTCTCTCTTTGCCTCCATCTTTGAGATATGTTGCTAGGAAAAGAAGAAACAATCGACGAGGGGGCTACCAGAGCAGCTCCTCGCCGCCAATTACCGTCTCTACTTCCTCCCGCCTTCCCCTTCGACCTTGTTGTTTCTGCCATTATTCCTCCTTGCTTCCAGTGATGTGTAGGAACACATAAAGGAGTCGCCAGAGATCGGGGTTCTCCCTCTTTTTCATGATGAATAAAAGCTTGAAAAATCTCGATGTGGATATGTGGATGCCACTTGGGTATTTCATTTCAACAAAATAAAAGAAAAGGAAAATGACTTGATATGGTAAGATACTTTTTGAAATGTATACATTTAGTCCTTATTATTATTATTTTTTTTGTAAAATAAACCCTTCCACATCAGCAAAACCTGTAGAATCCGGTGAAAACGACATAATGTGTACATATTAATAAAGTATAAGGGTTTATCTAAAAAAAGAATAAGGACTAAATGTGTACATTTCAAAAAGTATCTTACCCTATCAAGTCATTATCCCTAAAATATCACATATCATGAGGTTCATAAATTACTTGGACTTTTTTGTATTAAGGGGTGTTTGAGATTTTCTTTATTTAACTAAATACATACTTTTCGATGAAAGTCCTTATTAGCTAATGTGGTAACAAAAAAAAATTTTAAAAATGTTTGGATTCAAAAAACTATAAGTTGATAAGTCATTTTCAAAAGGAAAAATCTACAGAAAAATCCCAAAATTTTGGAAATAGTTTCAATAAAGTGTTAAAGTTTTTTTTTTTAATAGAAATGTCCCGATTATTTAACATTTTGCCCAAATTAACGAAAAAGTAATTTTTTATATTTGAACAGCAAATGACAGATTATATTATTTTCTCAAAATAATATGACTTTTCTTTTCAAAAAAAAAACTTTTAAGATTTTATTGAAACTTTTCCCAAAAGTTTGAGATTTTTCTATAGATTTCCTTTTTCAAAAGTGTTTGAATTATCTCATAGTCATTTTAGTTATTTTAGGTGAATAAGTTATAAACACTTTTGAAAACTTACAAATTCTAAATTATTCCAAATGCCTTTTCGAAGAGAAATAAAACACTTTTGAAAAGTACTTATTAACTAGCCAAACACTTTTTTAGGTTTATTAACTTTTTAAAAAGTTAAAAAATTCAATTAGAACTCAATCTCAAACACCCTCCAAGTCCTTCATGAACGACATGTTTTGTACTTAACCTATATTCAATATGCTCAAGCATTAGTGAAAGCAGCAATGATTGAATATAAATGATCACAATGTATGACATTGTTTTTCATGGAAAATATTCTCATTACTCCGGAAGAATGAAAGATATATTCTCAACTTCCATATATCTAAATGATTTACTAATGTTAACTTTTGGTATAATCAAGATTAATTTTGATTAATCAAGTTGAATTGTTTACATAATGTATGAGACATGGTTGACTAAAACCATCTCTAATAGAGCATTATCACTCATATGATAAAAGAAGTCTAAATATATTATGATCTCCATATTAAGCTTCAGAATCGATAAGGAATGAGTAAATTAATGCTTGAACTCATAGTAGTTTGCAAACATCTAAGTCCGTGCATTGATATATTGATATATTATGTCAACGCTTGTATTTCAATACTTGCATCTTGGAATGATTTTCATTAGTCAATATATTCTCACTTCTAGATTTTTGATAAAAACAAGTAAACTTAGTGGTTCTTGAACGTCCATTCATTTGGAATAATTGATCTATATGCAAAACCATGTCGTTCATATAACATGTTCCTGCTAACGACCTTAACCATGTTGTTTATATAGCATGTTCATGCTAACGACCTTTAGATTTCGCTATGCAAACAATTTTTCTCAACTGTTAAAAAATTTGTGTATTTGAGTACTGGAACATTAAACAATACTTTTCTCAAATATGAATTAATGTACGGGATATGATTGTTTTCGTAAATATTGAGGTACTCTATATTAGCATGTTTAATCTGAATGTAGTTCTAAATTATTTTAAATCTCCCCAGTCATTCAAAATTGAAGTAGTGATTATGAGTTAAGACTAATATGAAAGATTGACGATATAATATAAATGAATATATCTAAGAAAATAGGCAAATTCATATGTATTCATTGTTCATGAATATTAGAAAAACACCGCTTTAAGATGCCACTTTATGAACCAATGTTATGAAGTGAGTCTTAAAAATGAGTCGAATCTTATTATCCTTCGACTTGATATATGTGTTGACTTTTGAGCAAGTACACTACTGTGTCTTGTCTTGATGTATGTCAAACATTGTCCTTAAAAAGGTAGCTATAAATGCTATTATTAGATATAATATGGATCTTGGTAAAGAACGTATATAATGAAGATAAGATTTGTTCCTCTATTTTCAAAGTGTGATATCGGTCATACCTGTTGATTGAATAGATTTGAGTGTGTGGTCACAACCAAATGATTATGTTGATCTTATTCATCCTCATATCAATAAACAAATATTAAACTTATATGAGAATAACTCGAGTCATGACTCAATTTTCAAGATATTGAAACGAAGGATATAAGGTAAGTCCTTTGCCATT